CGTGTGTTCGATCCCAATTACTAGAAAAATATTATGTGATGAACATAGTATTTTTCTTGTATCAGGGTGTTTATATACCTATTATATATATTTATATACAAAAGAAATAAATATAAAGTATATTTAAGTAGGTTTATCAGTTACCCATAGTACAAGCTTCTTTTAGTTTGGGACTAGGTAGCTTTGTATACAAATACGTATGCCCTGAAAATGTTTAGTGCCCACATTTTAGTTGTAAAAATCTATAAGAACCTATTTCGGTGGGAGCGGTAGGTGTATCCAATAGAAATCTTTAGACAGATTAAAGCTATTTCATTTTCTTCATTAAAACAGGGAAATATTATTTTTACTGTTGACCGTTGTTTTTACTGTTGAGAGCTGTGATAGCTCAGTGTTCGGGCGCTCGCCTTCAATTACATTTACTCGAGCAACCTGAGTTTGATCCCCGGTGCCAGCACCAATGAAATTTAGAATTTTATGTGTTGACTTATCACACGCTTTGCGGTGGCGGTGAAGGAAAACATCGTGAAGAAATCTGCATATTTTAGAAATATGCAACAAATAAAAAATGTTTCGAAGATATGTGAAGTCCGCCAATCAGCAGTGGGGCCACGTAGTGGACTATGCCCCCATACCCTCTTTACAGAGGAGGGCTTTTCACGGCCTTCACTTTTTTTTCTTTACTGTTGAAAAGACCAAACACAATGCGTCAAATACTATGTCTTCGAATCTCAAAACCATCATTTAAAAAAAATCCAATTTACCAGTTCCTATTGCATCCCATGCATGCAGATTGGAGTTAAACCTGATTTGGGTGTCATCCAAATTGGACGCGTGGTTTACGTTAGAGATATTGAGTAGGTATTTGGGAGAAGCTTCTGGCAGTCATTAAAAATTTGTATACAATTTTTGCTTTGTTATCGTCGGCGTTTTTTATCATTATTTATTTATATATTGATAAATTCAAGCACGTCATAACTTGCCATGGTAGAATGGTATGTAATGATAGTTATTAAACTATTTTATTCTTTTATCATAGTTTGACATATCAGGTTTTGTGACGAGATGCAAATTTGTCAGTTTGTCTTAATTTATTGGTGAAAAATATTTTCTATTTATATTATAATTAAAAATACATAGAAAGATAAATAGTATAGTACTATTAAATTAGTGAAAACTTTTTGGAATAGACTCAGTTGTTCTAGAGGACATTATAACCGTGTAAACACAATCTCATTTCTGATAAAAAAATTGTGTTATATTAATAAAATGTGAGTGATAGATTTAGGTTAAGTTAGTATAAAATAACAGCGGCGAACATTAACAGTGAGAAGGATCAATGCAACTTCCGATCAATGCTCTAGTTTTAGAGTGCTTTCGTTTGAAGAGTTCTGAAGAGAAGACCACTATTATTTCGTACATACAACGCAAGCTAAGTACTTCAAGGCAATGTGTCAAGTGCCAAGTCTATAACGTGTCTAAGTGACAAGACACATCGTAGTAAACTTTTAAATCGCTTAATAAGATTCTAATTTAAAAAAATCGTTTATTTCTCTTGGGACGGAAGATATTTGTGAAAAGAAAGTATTATAATTCTTTACGAGACGAGAGAAAAGATCGGTGTGTTGAGTTAAATATTATGTAAACACTATTATTCCATGTAGTATACTTTGCGCCCACAGAAATCGATTTGTTGTAATTATAAAAATATACAAATAACACACGTAAGACATCTTTCTGCGCATATCGTCTCGAAATTAGTTTACATTGCTGCGATCGTATTGATACAGTTTATAAAAACATAAATAGACAAATCGTATAAAAGGATCTGCGTGCATTATTTCTTTTAAACACATTGAACTGAACGTATTTTATGCGATGTTGGGTTTTTTTCCAAACATTAATTAGTAATGTTAACAATGTACAAAGTTGGATATGATATTTAAGTAAATTCCTTCATAGGTTTTAAAGTAGTTAGCTATTAAATTAAACCAACGTTGTAAATGATCCTTTTGGACCAATTTACAACCCTGCCGAAAGAATGAACTTAGAATAAGAAGTAATTTAATATGAAATGTTCTTATGGAATGGTTAATCAAATTTTAGTCAATCATATACAATAAACCAGCCTGTACCATTAAATCATCAGTAATCTATCAATTTTACCGGTTACTTAGTATGTGATAATATAATAGATAGTATTTAATTTAATACTCGTAGACGAGCAGACCATATTCATGATTAAACATTTAAAAGTCAGTAATGTCCGCACGTCAATTCAAATTCTTACGCGGAAATAAAATTACTTCACATATTCCCTGTGTACGAAATTAAGCTTACACGTAACGCGTCGCTTAAATAAGTTCTTTAGGTTTTTTTTTTCTTTTTATAAGATTTAGAAAAAAGGAGGGTAAACGTACAAACTTAGATAAGCAATATAATGTACGTATAAACATAATGGTCGACTTAGTGGAATTGACAGGACACTATTTTTTTTGTTGTTCACAATCGCTTAATTGAATTAAACAAGGCAACTCGGGTTCAATAAAGTAAACTGTAGACCTACATATGGCCTATTTGGGATCTAGACATTGGACGCCTTTTTACATTTATTTATTTTATTCAACTCTTACGCCCGGTTTCTGAAACACTGATCCTCTATCTCTATCTTAATGATTCGAATAATCAATTCAATGAGTTTAACCATCCTTTTGGCAACTTAAAAGACATTTGAAAAGTCATTTGACAGCTAATTAGTTGACATTTACGATGATCAGTGTTTCAAAAACAGGGCGTAAAGCTCTAGATCTGGCAAAAACATTTTACTTGAAATAATATTAAAGATAAATTTTTCCCCTGACCTTTGCCGTTCTAATCCGGATTGAGTTAAGGTCTAATATAAATCGTTCACCTGAAAAATGACGGTTGACGTTGAAAATTTGCTAAATTTGATACGTGACTGCGGGGTGGCCATGAAGAATCTTGATTAGTTTTACAAATTTCTTATCTTATCATTTTTTTTAATATAATACTTTATATTAGAATTTCATATATAATATGTATTTGCTTGAATATGTATTTGATCGAATTGATAAGTTTTGGGATTGCTCATTACACTGGTTCATGAGAATTTATGATCGTATTTATATTTGAAATCAATGTCCAGATCTACAGATTGAAGTATTTTAAAATGTACAAATTTTGGTTGAGTGAATATTTTGGCAATGAAATTAGCTATCTTTGTAATGCGGTTTAAAGTATTCTCGTAATCTTTAAAATTTTCAGTTTTGGAATATGCTGCCTTTTTAGACTACATTTTATATTAAAATAAATAAATAAGACGTCAAAATAAAATCTTATGTCTCATTTTGCCTTGATAAGAAATAATAGGATAATATAGGGTAATATTTCAGCAGCCCACTACTTTTATATAGCAAACAAAAGAAAAATTTAAACAACAGATAAGTATAGAGACATATCACTAACTAAGTAATCAATAAAAAAAAAATGATAGTCACCTATATTTTAAGAGAAAAAAACGTAATTAAATCTTGTTATTTTCACTAAGAAAATCCGCCATTTTACTATTGTCAACATTTTCACATTTAAAAACCTTCCGTAAAATACTGTCTTGTCCACACTTAAAACATTCAAATTTCTTTACAAGAATTCATGTTAACACAAAAAATTAAAAAGCTCTGAACGATTTGATTCTGATTGGAATAAACATATATATAACATATTAGATTAATATAAAATGAGCGGGAAATACTTTTGGTTATAAATTTGACATATAATTAGGCATCAAAAATAATGATACAGCCAATATGCTAATATCGATTTCAAAACTCGATTACAAATTTTATAAAATGTTTTTGTTAAAAGCCCTTAATGTTACCATGGTGTATTATAAAGTGATTTAAATTAAATTCGTCTTTACGTAACTCAAGCTGATGGTTTTATATGTGATTTTTATAAATCTATGATAATAATGAACTAAGTTACATTCAAAATGTGTCACAGAACCGACACAGAGCACCCCGACTCCATGTGGTCTTGTGGTCCCTACCCCTAGAGTGAACATAAAAAGGCGGAGCCAGAACCTCGCGTCGGAGGTCCTGAGTGGGAATCTACATTGATTCGGGTATTGCATTTAATAACTTGTGTTATTTTATTGAATCTCAAAAGGTCACGGTATAAAGATTTTGTGTTTACTACTTTGTTTTAGTACTTTTACACGAGTTATGTTTATATATAAACGGTAGGTAAATAAAAATACGTTCATATTTGTTAACCACCTAAAATTGGCAGGACATTCATTGTTGCGATATCGAGTTTGTATATGTATGTAGGTATATACTTATAAACGATATCGTTTGTTAGAAGCAAGAAGAAACTTTTATGGTTCTTCAAAACTCTCTCTATTGGCTCTAACTCACTGGCTCTCCATCAACGTACATAGGTGCTGAACAGGTGAATGTCACCCGGATTTTTCCTTTTTTTTATATAAAATGTAGGTAAGCGAACAGGTAATCATCTGATGTAAAGTACTTTTATCAACGCCCATATGTTTTTTTTTTAATTTTGCTTTCAGTCCCGAGACTATTTAAGCTTCATCAGAACCCACGGGTTTTGGCCCTCCGCGGTGGGTAGGGCCGCGCAAGTGCTCATGCGTGCGTTTAACTATGGTGTGTCATCTAACAGCCATCGAGGTCGCGGTTCGGACCGAAACCCCGATGGCCGTCGACTGTGCGATTAGTTAATCGGTGGCTGGGAGCGGTGAGAACCGCCCCGGAACGCGGGTGACCTATATGTACAACATATGAGAGGAAGCAAATGCATTGCCAACCTTTAAAAAATGCTCCCCAGCAACCTCAAGCACCGGGCGAAATACTTAGAAGTACTTCCACTTCACGCCGGTTTACAGTTCACCCATTGCGTGAAACAGCAGACGCCGTTCCTTGGCATACGGGACAAAGCTTAGCGAATTAGATACCCACCTGACTGTTGGGGAACGTAGCGAAGGCGGACTGAACTTTGTGGAGCGCGTGGTCCTGTTGGTGCGCTGGCGGCGGTCGGCCCTTGGGGAAGTGGAAGCGGGGGATGACCCGCGCCGGCGCCCCGCCCCCCGCCGCCCCCCGCACAGACCGCTGGAGGGTGGTGTGCGGGGGCGCGGACGACGGCTTCGGCGGCGCCGACGCCGCGTAGCTCTGCAAGAGAGAGAGAGGGAGAACGTGTGAATCACCGGTAATCAGTAAACAAATGAAGTGGTAAATAAGACTGGGTATTATGTGTGTATTTTTAAGGGAAAAGTTGACAACCGAACCGGTTCACAGTGATGTTAAGTATCGCTGCATATGGGCACTTATAGCACCTTAGAAGCTGCAGATGCGCTACCGATCCACTAAAAAGCCAGCCCGGCTACCTCACTCACCAGAAGACACGTGAAAGTCGAAGGAGAGATGTCGATATTGAATTTTAATTTCTCTTGTTAAAATTATCCTTGTAAAAGGTCGTTTGAAATTGTTTGTCTGCTTTATAGTACATAACAATAGATTGCGCAAAAAATTGCTTTAAAATGCGAAAAAAAAAAAACAAGCGTCGTCGTGGCAATCGGCCGTTTAGTTTAGTCGTTAAAGCGTCTGGATGCGATTCCAGAAGATGCGGGTTATATTTTGTTTGCGGGTTATTATTGTTTCATCTTAAATGCAGAGGTTACAAGTATAAAAACTTGAAATAAAATTTAAATCTAATATTCATAACCAAACTATCGGAAGCTATCGGATCATCCAAAATAGTGAAATATCAAAATTTTGTTAATACCAAAAAATTATAGGAAATTCAGTTATTACAGAAAATTCATGATACTTATCATTATTCTTTACTTTGTATACTATATATTATATTACTCTTGCTTTGTGTTTCAATTAAAAATAAAACCGTTTAAAAACTTTTAAGTAAAACGGTTTTATTTTGTTTTTTTTTTTTGTTAATATTGTATTGTCATCTAAATTAAATATGTGTACCAAATTTCAGATCAATCTGACAACGGCAAGGTGCTTAAATTTCAATTTCTAATTTTGGCACAAACAAATAAATTCCGTACGGGTCGAGCTAAATAAAACCGTTTAATAAGAAAACGATACAAATAACGTTGCAAGTTCATAGCATATCTTTCTATTGCAAGTATTGGAGGTATTTTCATGACTAAATAAGACTGAATAAAAATAAAAGTTTCCATTACAAATGGCGTCTCGATGTTTACGGTGAGAAAGCGCGTTCCAATATTATGTCATTTGTAGATATCACTTTAGCGCTTTCCTTAATATGAAACATAATTTTCATACCTATGCTCATAGGTATGAAAATTCCGTATCATATTTTTCTATGGAACGTAATATAATTTTAAAAGTGTTATGCAAATCGTTAAATTTTGATAATACATGTATTACAATACTAAAAGAGATGATAGCGTTCAAGATAACTAAAACTATCATATTTTTTACGAGAAATGGAGGTATTCGATATGAAAGGGAATTCACCATGATGCCATGAAATACCTTATCGTCGAGGGTTTGACCGTGAAGGAGTGTAATATATTAATTATTCAGAATAATTACTTACGCGATGCTCGGGTACGTGTGATAACAAAAGACGTATTGTTTCATTGTTCATCTTGTCATTACTGTTTTCGAAGGCACTGTTGTTTGCTTTGATGTATGAATTTTATTGTTTGTATATGAAATTTGACAAACGAGATATTTATGTGCTCACAATATAAAATATGTTTGGTAAAGTTAAAACATAAAGCCTAATCCTTATGTGTCTAATCCGTGCGGCTTCCATTATTTTATTGACCGTATTATTTACAACATAATATATATACACTAATTGAACATTAATTTTAGGCAGCAAACAAAGACTTAGTGCTTAAAATAATGCTTGTTGCTTTAAATTGAGATATTTCAGAATTTCAGTTAAAATCTTCATACTAGAAACACCTTGAAGCGATAAGGTTGAACAAACTTAGCCCCTTTACGAAACAATGTTTAATGTTTGTCCATTTCAGGATTTTTTTTTAGGAACTTCTTTGGAGTTTACAAGTTATGTTTTACGGTGGTAGGGCCACGCAGCAGCCTCGACTGTTGCATGAATGGGTAGGCCCGTCCGGGTAAGTACCACGACCTCACAGAAAACCAGCGTAAAGTGGAAGTATGACAAATACCTTCGCGTTTCGTCAGGTGAGTAAGGTAGCCGGAGCCCAATTTTCAAAAGGTTGTCAACGCATCTGTAACCCTCGGGTGTGGCAGATGGCCATGGGCGGCGGTATTCCCTTAACATCAGATAACCCGTCTGCACATTTGACAACTTTTCGCATAAAAAAATATATGTAATTTTGCTGAGCCGTTTATTTGAAAGATCAGGAAAAGGGTAATTGCAGCCTTTGACATTTTTCATCTCAGAGGGAATCTTGTAAAAAATCGGTAACGATATTTATCAAAATAATTTTGGTAGTCAAGCATTACCATTATTATTTCATTTTATTATCAGTAAAGAGTGAATAATATTCTCCGCATTTTTTGTTGCACTATCCTTTTGATCACAAAAAAGCTTTGGTTGAGGCAATCTCAATGAAAGCATTGTTTGGATTTAGAAGTTTAAATTTTTTTCAGAAAACTTTAAACTGTTTTTTTTTTTTGTAAATTGTACATAATTTATAGTGTGATCTTGAATATCACGGGAATGCAATATAATATATGTAACCAACTTGTTGAACGATCTTTGTATAAATAAATAGGTGGCGTGGGCGCAATCCAATTCAATTGTAATGGGTCAATGTGTTTTGGGAACGTCTGACTTAATCGTTTCCAACTCGCACAGAGTAGGGAATCGGCAGAGAGATACACATCGTCTGTGACTAGATGTAATTAAAAGAATTATATCTCGCAAAAAGGCGTGGAAGACGGCCAATGTTGCCAAGATTGTTAGTTGAATTCGAAACTTTGATGAACTAATTCTTCTTCTCATTATTAAAAGTACTTAATAAAACAAAAGTAAGCCTAAGAAAAACATTACAAATTGACGCCTTTTTAAAAACCATATCGAGTTTTTTTCACCAAGAAATATTTTGTTCCTTTATTAATTTTAATGTGGGCAATCAAAACTGTATTTGATTAATATAAGCGTCTCTCATAAAGAGAGCTTAAAATATTATTTGTAGTTTTGTTAATAACTTAGCTCACAAAGGCATTCCCGCAACCTCGTGCTTTCAGTGTATATGCATGCCGTGCCGACTCTACCAGGCCCTGAATTTTGGCACACCCGTTAAATTCATTTCGGGGCTCTCCTTGGCCCACAATTCGGTTGACGTCACGCAGAGCGATGAGTATTTTCGGAACGTCCACGTGCTCTTTAGTATACCATTTCCATCGGCGAGTTCACTGCGCTATTGGAACACCATTAAACCGACCTCTAACAAGGAGCGAGGTGCGAAACTTGGCACGCGCTTTGGGGAACACCGCCAGATATGAAGCGGCATTTTATCCGCCTCTAAATAACGGCTAAGCTGACGGTGCCTCGATTTCAATGGCGTCAATAACAACATTTTGACTGTGGTAGGGCCACGCAATGACTGTGGTAAGGCCACGCAATTACTGCCGTAGGCCCACGCAACAGCTTCGAATGTTACACGAATGGACAGGTCCGTCCGGGTAAGTACCACGACCTCTCCGAAGACCGGCTTAAAGTGGAAGTAGTACTTCTACGTTTCGTCTGCTGAGTGAAGTAGCCAGGGGCCACTTTATTAGAAGGTGGAAACGCATCTGTATACATAATAAAATACGCAACTTTAAGCGTAGTTAGATCAGCGACAAAACCTACAGTTGACTTCCGTTAGTGATTCCTAACTTTTTTCTCCATCTCTTATCCCACCTCGATGGGGTCGGCACAAGATTTAATCATGTCCTTAATCACTTGGGTTTTTTACGACCGGCCGCCTGCCTGCCTGACGTCAACCGTCCTTGGGAACAAACATCCAGATTCGGAGCAATTATCTGTGGGTCACACAAACTTGTACTTTGTGGGAATTGAACCTACTCACTGATAGTAAATGACAACGCCAGGCATATTAGGAGATATGTTGTTAACCAATTGAAAGTGTGTGCCTTAAGCTTCATTGATGATTCATGAACCGAAACGCAGTACTTCAAGGAAGACAGTCAAGAGTTCCATTAATAAGTTCATTTATTTCATTTATTTTCTTTTTTTTTATTTGTTGCAGGTAATTTTTTTTTTTTCTTTCGTCTTATTACATACTAGCTGCTGCCCGCGACCACGTCTACGTAGAAGGCGTAACATTCCGACCGAAAGACAGATATACAAAAAAATATGCATAAAATAATAGCCTATGTTTTATTCTGATAAATAAGCTACATTAAAAGTAAAGTTTCATTAAAATCCATTCAGTAGTATTTGGGTGAAAGAGTAACAAACATCCATACATACATACAAATTTTCGCTTTTATAATATTAAGTAAGCATTAGTAAGCATTACATCCTCGTCGGATTGCTCTTCGTCTATTTTTTTTCTTGTAATATATAAAATATTTTAATTTTATTAAAATTTAAAGAAAAAGTACGAAAAGATTGTCGCAATCTTTTCGCACTTTTTCTACAAGTTTTAATGTTTAATCTTAAGTGCAGAGATTAGCACTATAAAAAACTTAATATATTAATTTGAAATTGCTAGCTAGAGAAGAAAGATCTGGAAATACTCGCACCATAAACTGTTAGTATTACTCCAAAATATCACAACAATTGGCCGCATAATAACCATAGAAGAGTAAAAATATAATTTAGCCCGTGATTATTGAAAATTGGTTGTGCAAATTACGACATCATTAGACATTTTTCTCGACTAACGGAAATATAAAATTACGAGAATATTGTAAATGCAACATTTTTTTTGATGTACAATGTAATGTACAACTTAAAAATAATATTTTTTCCTCGAAATCTGAAATAGCTCTTTTTTGTATTTGAACAAATTGAAAGAGATGAGAGATGAGATTGCTAGTTTTAAGAAATCTGATGTAAATGGCGGTTATATCTTGATTACATTTGCTTTTTAATTTCAAATATAAACTTCATATATGATATTCAAATTACATTCCCACAGTCGATAGGAACGTCCTTGGCGATTCTCTGCCCTCAACGCCTTTATGTAACATCTAGTATATAACTACTAGTTTAGTCTAGACTTTTATGAATCCAACTCGACTTAGCCTTCGATAAATCAGAAATCGCACCATACTGCTCCCCACCAACAGTAAACACGACCGTTATTATATTTTATGATCCCCTATTATCTGCCACTGGCGGCCAGGGACTACGCAAATATGACTTAGCAATATCTCCACTCAAGGCGTATAAAGTTTTACATCGTTACGGCAGCAATCATTTAGATTCCAATAAGATCGTAAAGTTCGGGGCCGTTGTTGACTTATTGAGCCATGATACTTTCTAGGAATAGTTTTGGGTCCCTTTGGTTTGGGACCGTTGTGTTTAAGTGTTTTGAACGTCATTCATTAAAAATATATGGACGGACATTGAGCGTAAAAATTGGAAAATTTTAATGTCTAAAGATCTACAAACAATGTAAAAAAAATCAAGCACTAGGTTACAGTAAAAAAAAAGAAAGTTTTGACGTTGGTCATATCATTATATAGGTATTATTTATCAAAGGTGTTTTTTATTGTAACGCCATCACTTCCATAATTCCACATAAAATTTAATGGTTCCACTGCCATTTTCAAGCTTATGCTTGCTGCTATTGACTAAAAATAGGCAAAAAGAAAACAGCTAATGTTTTAAATAAAATTTTCGTTTAAAATTTTCTTATACAGAATGTATGATAACGCCATCTATAGACAATTTGTTTTCAGTGGAGAACATTGAAATTTATCGTTATTCTTCAAAATAAGACACTATTGTTATTGTTATATTTCGGTGACTGATGACAGTACTGTGCGAAATTTTCGCACGGGTCAACTAGTTAAAACATATCTCAATGATCTAATGTCTGTTGCAATGCAAATGAATGAATGATCTAATGTCTGTTGCAATGGGTTGCCTAAACTTTAAGGCAACGCCCGCAAATATGTCTAAGTTTAGAAGATGTTATCTATTTATAGCTTTAGATAATCGAGATTTATTCATATAGATCGAGATCAAAGCGTGTTTAATTAGCTCTTCATGGATCGTGTAGTCAAACCGCAATGCGGAAACCGTTACTGCTCTACTGAAACAGTAAAAATTCTAATGTTGTCTGTCCTATGAGAGCATTAAAAACCGCATAAATTATGGTTCAAATGGTACCATAGAATAGTAAACATTTCCATATGTATTATGTATGTAATTATGTTTTTCGATTGTTTTAAAATGTACGACAGCAAAAAAAGGCATAATTTTTTTTTGTCTAGTAAGAAAACCTTTGAACCTTTTTATTTATTTATTTATTTGTTTATTTGCATATTTATTTATTTTTATTTATTTCGCTTGGTAAGAATGCAAGGCAATACAAACTCAAAGTTAGTAGGGTGACCTTGGGTTCTGAGAAAAAAATACTTTCATCCGTGTCCATTTTCAGCCAATTTATGCTGAAAGTATTTTATGTTATTGAATTTTTTTTGTTTACTATTTCTTTCTAGTGAAGTTTTTAGTTAGTTTCTAGTTTGTTTTAGTAAAACAACTTTTTTCTATTCAATTAACAAGCATATAATTAGTATCGTTGCTTTATTGTTGAGTTCGATAAACTTCCTTCGTAAATATCGCTTCAAAGTGACTCCGGCTGAGCTGAGCGTCAGTACTCGTAAATCTGTACCGGTTATTAAAAGTTTGTTGATCTCTTCCAGTGATTAAACTTAGTCACTTTAAGGCGACAACAAAGGTTATAGTGTGATATAAAACGGAACTAACACAAGGGCGAATTTTCGTTTTAAATGAAAAACATAAAATGAATAAAATACGTAGCTATGATCTCAGAGTTACCCAATAACACGGTCGATGACTTTTACACGTAATAACACTAAGACTATGTCGTCCAACTATAGGACAAAAACGGTACGACGGGATTAATAGATTGAGCCAAATCTGTTTTGCATCGATGTATTAACAGATATTCGATATATTAACAGATATACCGATGAACATCCCTTAGTAATCACAAGGATTTCAAACAGGCCTGAGCTGAAATCAACTAATGGTGTCGTTATCCTGATTAATTTCGAAAATGATGCCGTCCTATGCTCTCACATTATGTGGCAGTAGTTGGGCCACATCCTAACATATGCCTAAGTGATGATTAGACAAAACACCATTACGGTGTGGTAATGATATAGACATTTGACTTTTTTATTTTAGATCCTTAGTGATTAACAGTGCTGACTGAGCTGTTGTCATCATTTATAAGAGAAACATTTTAGTAACAAAAACAAAACCTGAATACGGTATGGAATTTCGGAATATGTCACTATCTTTTTTATATTTTATTTTAGAGTGTTTCCTGATGTATCTCCGGAGTCCAAAGTCCAATACCAACGATAATAATATGGGACCACATGAATGCAAGAAGACTATTTAAAATCGCTTAATAAATGCCTTAGTTCCGAGGTAACAAACACAAATGAAGGATATGGGTTTGAGCACGGAAATACTTTTTCTTGAATTTAATTTATTTAACTCGTTCTACCAATTATCAATAATAATTCTTTACTTCTTAAAAATTACAGCTATCCAACATTTTGACATCATCGCTCTCTATTCTTTTTTCTCGACTAAAATTTCCATCTATATCCAATCTGACGTTTCTTGTTATTCCATTTTTATACATAAACATACAATAGAATTGAGAACTTCCGCTTGGTAGAATATCCGGAAGACGTAGGTTCGATACCCGCAGCGGCGAAAAACTTTTCACCCTTTTTTTCGATAAATTTTAATGTTTAATTTTAAGTGCAGAGATAAAATTATTGCTGGGTATCTTGAGTTCTGTCAACATATCTCCGATTGTTACCACCAAGTTAAAAAAATAGGCCTTTAATATGCTACGACATATGAAAAATAGATTGTTTCCTTTAATGTTGATCTCGCTATTGACTATTTAAAACCACGTTTCATTTTTGTGACACCGTTCGGCCATGATAGCTCAGAGTCCAAGCACTCGCTTTTAATTCAATATGTTCAGCTACCTCAGTTTAAATCTGTGTGCCGATGCCGGCATCAATGAAGTTGTTACTTCCAATTTCGAGTGTTAACTCACGAGGAACGTCGTGAGGAAACCTGCTTATTTTCGAAGTCATAATCAAAAAAATAGAGTATGTATATTCTGCCAATCTGTGGTGAGGTCAAGTGGTGGACTATGACCGACCCTCTATACCCTCTATACAGACTGACAGACACTGTATCATACTTTTGAGGAAAGTCTCTAGACAGACTTTCCTCAAAAGTATGATACATATAGGCTATTACTTTACTATGTTTTTTCCTTTTGACACCATGCTTCAATTCAAAAGGAAATAACTATTACAGTATTGTCCAGCATAGTCATCATAATTGTCCACGTTCGTCGATATATGGAACACAGATTTGAAATTGAAGTTATATTGTATTGTCGAATAGTATTCGGACACTCGTCAATTGCAATAGGGATGTCTATGAGTCAAAGTGCGGGATTATTGGTGCCCGCCTCGCAGGAGCTCGTAATACAATTCGCAATGGATTCTATGCGTCTATAATTATAGGGAGCGGGATAGAGCGGGCGAGGGGGCGGGGTGAGCGTGCGAGCGTCGTTCGACCACGTGGTATAAATAGTCGCATGCGCAGGTCCGCGCGCGCCGCTTCGCGCCAAATCGGGAGACGCCAATGGCCGATAGACGCTAGGCACAACGACCGCCACCACGATGTATTCGCAACAAATGCAAATATTACTGAAGCCTAATACAGAATGTGTCATAGGTCACATAATATTATTTAGTACTATGTGACTTATTGCATATGATACATACTAACTAATATTGTCGACATGTACGACGTACCTGTCAAGTTTAAAGGAATAAAAAAATATAGAACATAACTGCGGTAGAGCCGCGCAGTAGCTTAGGTTGTTGCACGAAATGAAATGCTTGTCTGGCGATGTACCACGGTGTTACAGAAGAGCGGCGTGTAATGTGTAATAGTAGTAGTATACTTTCGTTTATCGTCTGGTAAGTGAGGTAACCGGGGCCCACCTATTTTTAAGGTTGTCTACGCATCTGCAAGCTCTCAGGTGTTGTAGATGAGCGGCGGTAATCACTTAGCATCCAGTGAACCGCCTTCATGCTTGACAACTTTTCACATGAAAAATCATAGAATTCAAATCAAATCTATAAGCTAAAAGCTATCTTATACAAAAGAGGGAACGAATACTGTTACATACCAACTTTCACATTTGCTATATACGAGCGATGGATTCAGATGATGAACGTTTCAATGACAAATTCGCAACGGTCACAAATCTAACAAAAGAGATGCAAAGATCTCCAAATTGCGGTACATTTATGGCATGTTGTTCGTCTTATAAGGACAGGCGTCTTTCAACAGTTATTAGACACTAATTGGTACACGATTTGTGAATCATTTCGAAAGTGTGTTAGATTTATGTTTCTCAGTTCTTACGAAGTCTGTCCAAATAACCATGAAGCTGTTGTATTTAATACTAAATTCCAAACGTTCTATTTTAAACGATCCCTTTAACAAACGTCAAGTACTAAAATTATGTGTAGCGTTTTATAACATGGAACAAGTATTTCTGCGATCCACAGATAAAAAATATTTCGGTATTGGTTCCTAAGGAGGGTTGATATCACGCAGGTGGTTGTTCGTATATAACACAGCCAATATTATTAACACCGTGATACATGTGTTGTGCCAACCCTACCTAGGTGGAATAAGGGTAGGAGAGACACGAAAACGTCATACCTAAATAGATAATTCCTTACACAGTCATTGTTTTTTATTTATTTTAGCAGTACAGTAAATCTTCAAGCGGAGGTCTTTTTAAAATTTACATGAGGTTATAAGTTGGAACAATGATATATATCTGTAGACGTATTGTACGCCAACTCTACAGTGCACTAAAAGCACATACATGTAGTGTTGAGGGATGAAATAAAAAATGCAATTTAAGCAAACTCGTAATTATTTTTATAAAAACACGGGTAAATATAATTTTAGAAAAAAAAATAAGACTCGTTGCATAAAATGAGAACTCTAACCCTATCGTCCATCACTCGTATCGCAACTGTGTCCATTCTTCCCCTCTCACACTTCTGCCATCCTTCACTTTCATTACGTTCGGATACACACTACATTCAGTCCTCAAAATATTCAACTTATTATTCACGTTCGGATACACCATCCTCTTAATCCTAAATACAAATATGAACTAATGAAAGAGACATGAGCTTAAATCCATCATACGTTATTCTTACTATTAGAATGAAATAAAACAAAATTCGCACGTGACTAAAAGAATGTGGGGCCAGGTAAATGCCTCGCTTTCATATTGCCAAAATGGCGCGTATTCCTGTATTATTACAATTACCTTAGGATTGGAATGGAAGATTACTTTTTTTTGTTCAGATTGAGTTATCTGAAGGTAAAAGTTTGCAGGAAATTATACTTTATGTTTCTTTAGACTTTAATGCGACCCTTTTGGATGAGGCTGATATAGAAAATCAACGTTTGTAATCAACGTTTCTCGTAAGTAAATGATAAAGTATATAAAAGCAAATGTTAAACTTCATTATTTCGTAACTTCGCTAATTAACGACGGTAAGTACCTTGGCTAAGGATCGGTATTTTGTTTGCTTAACCTTCTATTAAAATTGCTTTTTTTAATTAGCTACTAGAAGAGGGAATATAAACGCAAACGTTTATTTAACAGAAAATTGGAAAGCCGTTAAAATAACATTAAGATCATGTTTTGAATTTGTTAGTGACTCGGACCATTCTGCTGAAAATAAAACAATTATCAGCAAAAAAGAATGTGTGCTTAGTTGAAGAATATAAAATTTCATTAAAAGTTACCGCAACATATTCACTTCAAAGACATTTGATATTGAATTCACACATACCTACTCGCTACATAAACAAAGCTCATAGATAGCTTTGTTAAAGCTTATGTTTTTGTATAATGTTACTTTTCATCAGAATCTTCTGTGAATCAAAACAATCCATGTTGGTAAGTACATGACTTTTATTTTAAATTTTCCAACGTATGAAGGCATTCAACACTTTAAATTCATTAATTTTTAAAGTTGCGTTGCGATCTTAAAAGAAATACAAACAAAACGATGTTTCGATTGTAAGACATTTTTTTTATTTATTTATTTATTAAGTGAACAATACAACATCAAAATTTTTATTCGCCATATTGTGACAACAATTTATCAGCGACACAATGCACTCTTACATAATTGTCACTTAAATAACAAAATAAAATTAGCATAGGGTACAATGGAGTTAAAAATAATAACTAAGCAATAAAAGAAAAACTGGAACTATCTAAGTAAATTATAATAATCTATATAAAAGGTCTTTAACTTTCTTTTAAAGATATTCTTGCCTATACAATTATTTTCAGAAAATTGAAATCGCACACACGAATGATAACACTATGGAAATAGATAAAAATGGCATGTTGCTAATTCCGCGAAACCGCTCTCGTCTAGACTGCTAACGAGGAAATCAATTCGCGTCTGCGCGTGTGTGTGTTGATATTTGTTTGTGTATAATGGTCGCGGTCGAAATTAACGCCATTATTGAGGGATAATTGTATAGGGATACCTCTCGGCAAGTTTCTAAAAAACTAAATAGTTTAATGGTTAACTGAGAACAATTTTCAATATTGGGAAGACCTAAAGAGAATTAGAAAGTTTTTACGACAGCAATCCACACAGGATTACACGAAACTAAGGATTAAAAATAGAAATTGAAAACTACACGTTCATCATAATTCTTAGATAATTGCGATAATTATTTAAGAACAATTTTTTGAAACAAAATATTTTGATGTTCCGTGTTAAGAACAACGCGATAGATAAAAAAATGCGGGAGAATCAATTTTATCTGCTTTTGGTGGACATTGTGGTGGTCCATCTCTGTCGCTCGTCCGAAATAAAAGCATTGGCTGTCTCGCTCTGTTGCGAAAAACGATACTTGCAGCGGTGCCGGCGTGTTTTGTTTTCAGCGTATTTCAGGCCAGCTGAGCGAGTCTGACGCGTTTCCGTGGCAACCATTGATCGGGCACGCCATCTTGAATGCAGCCGTCTGCAAAGGCGTCTACTGACAATACTGTAATATAGTTATGAGAATAGTTTAGCGAAAGTTTTATTGAATCCGCTGAATGAAAAATTGAGTCGGATACAGACAGGCTATTACATCAGCTTGTTATTAAAAAGTTTTCCTTAACAGATGACTGAATTATGACATAAAAAAAAACAATTAAAAAAATGAATTATGACATTTCAAAAAAAACGTTTTAAAAATGATCTGCGAATGAAAATGATGGGCAAAGTGGCGGCAGAAGGATCTGCGAAGCTATTGGACGTAGGAAGAAGTAGTGACTGTGCAATATCCGGAAATGGACCGGAATCACAAGTGTCGAAGAGCTTTACAAACTCGCCAAAGACCAGGTGAAATATGCGGAGGTAACTGCCAGCCTGCACTAGTTGGAGAGGTAGTAGTAATGGAAGTAGTAGTTATAAAGACATTTAAATTGGAATAGCTATATTTTAAACATCCAAAATATTTCCTAAATCATAAAAATAATAAGGAAATGAGAAACATAAAAGCTTTTAAAAATCACAAAAAACCCCTTTATAATGTTTGTTTACACACTACATAACATATTTTTGATTATTTTTTTATGTTTTTATCTTCGTCTTATTTCATTTTTAACTTTTTATCATTTATATTTATAAATTTAAGTTTAAAGAGGCTCCGACTTATTTAATTAAGATGGCGTCTCTAGTTAATTGAGATTCCAGGCTTTTGTACAATCACACCGTTCAAGTGTAGAGTTCATTTGAAGCTTTCTACAAATAACACTGAGAAACTGTAACAACTTAATTAATATTTTACAATCAACGAGTAAGGTACATTTCATTAACAAATAGAGTTTTTTTATGTATATTAAATATAATACATCAAGGTAAATTATTACCATATATTATTATACTATTCATATCAGCCACGAAAGCAAAGAATATGTTTTTGTTGTTGCAAGACATGCGACGGATAGGTTCTTCTGGGTAAAAGTCACGGCCTCACAGAAGTTGGGCCTCAGTGAGGTAACCGGAGGCCTATCGTTTAAAGGTCGGCATCGTATCTGCATGTACGGTGTATTAAATTAACATCAGCTCCACCACCGGCTCGCATATACTTCCCATGTAAACACTACAACATTTACCATGAAATAGTTATGATACCGTGATGAATTTATCAAATAATTTTTAATGTGAGAAGGTGGCAAGTTGTATTCCCCTGACGAACCTGCCCATACGTGCAACAGTGAAGACTATTGCGTGCCCTAAATTTGTGGCCCATGATGCGGTTATTTTAATATATCATACTTAAACAAATAATTATAATATGAACTAGGCAACCATACTGATCAATACGCTACGTCATAACACTAGTCTGCGCTTTCGAAGCCGGTTGGAGCAAACTGCCATTCGAGAAATGTTATGTGTCCGTAGTAATATTGACGTATTCCCATACATAGTGGAAATATAACGGGGCATGTTGCGATGAGCCACAATTCAATCTGGACGTGTTGTATGTGACGATTGGGAATCGATATCGGCCGCCGGGAAGCACGACCGGATACGGATTTGCGTCAGACCCATGTGCTCGTACCTTTCGCCATTTGACGCCCCCGACTCGAATCACGGG